GGTAATGCCAACTGCTTGTCCAACATTTATTTCCAGTGCTCTGTCTGCTCTGCTTTTGAGCATTATTTATGTGACGGGCTTTCTGATGCTTCTATGGGGATGTCAGGAATGTCTGCCAATAAACACCTGCTTTAAAGTCACAAAATTGTTTCCACTACAGCACCCTGTTTTATCTAATAACACCTCAGCATCTCCAGCTATGCTCTATTCCGCCTTAGTTCCAGGGGAAAGACATACACAGGAAAACAGAATCAAACCAGCAGCCTCCCCGCCTTGATCTGTATCTGCTCTTTTATCTGAAACTTTCCATGTTCAGTGTCTCCCTGGACAGTTGTGTTTGTGTATACAGGAAAGCAGTTTACTTCTCATTCTTGCCACCTGTAAAAGATGAAGTGGACTGTTCTGACTGGGCTGACTGAAACCTGCAGCTGGAATTGTAAGCAAGCTTCATCAAAACGCTTTTCTTGCAACAGTTAGAAGGAAAAAAAGTGATCTTGGCTACAAGTATGTAGTGGTTTCTTTCATGCAGAAGGAAAAGTTTTTGCATTCTCAGATGGAGTCCTTGAGGTTTTGCTTATGAATATGTCTCCTGAGAAGATTGTTTCTTTCCCAGACGTTGAAGAGGTAGCAGCTGAGCTGGAGCTTCTCCTTGCCTTCCTCTTCAGGGCCTTACTTCCCTGCTGATTCCCCTCTCCTCCTTACATCTCCCAAAGTTTTTAGCTTTGTGTCAGAGCTGACTCCATCAAACCTTGACACCTTCGTGTCCTCACCTCAGAGGAGCAACTCAAACTGTGCTTCTGTGGGACAGGGCCACATGCTTGGCTCCTAAAACTGAGGTTTAGGAGTGCCTAAACTGAGATGCAGGTGCTGAGAAAGTGGCAGTGGGCAGGGGCCTCGATGAGGGCAGTTCTGCTCTTGTCCTCTCCAAGTTTATCTGCAGGGTAACAAGCAGACTGGAGAGCATTTTCAGCATTAATAAGAGACAGAAACAGCAGACCTTTCCTTTGTACCATGCCTTCCTCACTGCCTCAAATACGTGTGGCTGCACAGCATGATAAACAAATGAAATCATGGAGGCACTGATCTGGAAACAGGAGTGACCCATTTGAAAGGAGCTCAGGCCCTTTGGAGGTGTGTTTGCTCTGATCTGAAGACTTGGTTAGGATCCTTCTCTGTGTCATGCAGCATTCTGTGTGGCCAGCAAGGCTTTCTACAAAGAGACCTGTAAACAGATTAAAAGCAGCAGTGCCGGCCTTGCGGGAGGAGCCCCACACCAGGCACCAGTGAGGCCACCATCACGACAGTCCCCTTTCCCACACACCTCCCGGCGCTGTTCTTCCAGTTTGTCGGCAGCAGAGCAGGGCTGGTTCTCACCCATCCCCAGAGTCAGGTTTTGTGCAAAGCAGGTTGCTTTTTCACCAGCTGGGAAACCAACCGCACAGGTTGGGGGTAACCACAGAGTAGCTCGACTAGTCAGAAGCTGCCATTTTGTGATATGCATGTAGTTTCATTAGGAGTCTGTGAAGCTCTTCCTTGACAAGAAAGGCAGCAGGCCTGCTTAGTGCAGGTGGGATGGAAGAGCGCTCACCCAAGCCCACACCTTAGGATATTCCTGGCCAAGTCCATAAATGAAATTTGGAAGTGTTCATTCTATTGTGATGAGCTGTTTTTGGAAGAGAAAGTGTGTGTATCCATGCTGCTGGTGTCTGAGGTCTTTTTCCTTTCTGAATGCTGGTGGTTAAGGTTTGCATTTTTTTTTCTTAATGTCATCCTCACCCATTAGCCTGTGCTGGTAAGGCAACACCACCCACATCACCTGTCCCAAAAGGCCCAATCTCTCTTCCACATGAAAATGTAATTGTGAGCCAGCAGCACAAGGAGGGAACTACAGGTGGGAAGGGCACAGGGGAGAAAAAAGGAGACAGAGTTTGAGTACAATTAATTGAACAATTTCCTCTTAAAAGAAAAAAAATAATACATTGTACAAATGCTTAAAGCACAGCAAGGAAAAGTTAGGGGCAAAAAAGGGAAAAGTGGAAAATGATGCACAGGACGCAACATGTTGAAATTAAAAGTTGCCAAGGCTTTTGTGTGTGGGGTTTTTAAAACAAAACATGAAGTTTCTGGTCTTCTCTGGTTCTTACTCCCCTCCTGGAATGCTTCTGGTTTGTATTCCCCCCCTGAACATTGCTCCCAATAGTTCCTGTCTGAAGAGTCATCTTGCTCTGTGTCTGCTGCCTTGTATTTGGGCAGCAAGGAGTTACAGAATGTGGCTCTTGGTGTGACAGAAGTGAAGCTCCCTCCATCCTGGACTCTTCATGCTTGTACTTCTCTCCATCTTCAGATACTTTCCTGCTCTCTTCCCCAGTAAAGCCCTCCTTCTCGTTCTGTTTTCAGTTTTCCTTTGGCCTTACACACAGTTTCCACACAGGAATGTTTCCTGGCCTCACTCATGCAGCTCATCTTGTTGACGGTGAGCACCAGTGTTGGGATGCAGCAGCCACACAGGTGCTTCCCATGGACATTGTTTGAAGATCTCTGTATCTCAATCCACTTTGCCAATTTTGTCTTTTCATCCATCCTTCACAAATACCTGCTGTTGACAGCAGCAACCAGGGGCTGCTGAGAAGGAAGATCCTCTGGTTTCCCTTCTTTTTACCCTTGGAGAAGTGATTGTGGGATCACTTCATTTCCATGCACCCCAAATCCACATTTCACCCCAAATATGTGCTGAGGTGAAAAAGACATTACTTGCTGGTGTGGTGTGTGAATGTTAGCACCACTGTGGTTGAAGTAAGAGTGGGTGGCCATGGTCAAGGACAAGAACCCTTTCAGCAGCAGCATGGAGTCACATCTCTCGTCATTAATCCTTCCTTTCATCCAAACTCTTGGACTAAGCTGAAGCATTTCCAGAGAGACACAGATGTGCTGTTCCAGTCCCCAGAATGCCATGTGTGGAAGAAGGCAGCAGGCCAGAAACCCACAGGAGTGCTTCCTCTGTTTTGTTTTGTTTTGTTTTTTCAAACATTTCCCCTGTATGGACGCGGCCTGGCTTTGGGTTCTGGTTTCACTGCCTTGCCTGCAACATCAGCCACCAGACCCTGCTGCCTGCACATTACCAAGAATGCTGTGTGTGCCCCCTGCTTCTCATCCACGCCTGTCTCACATTTCTCCAAGTTGTAAAGCAGTGCTGCTCCTTAATTATTACACGTTGAGATTTCAGCTGGGTTTTCAGAAATGCCTCCTGATGTTTGTAATAACTTCATTTAAATTTTTTACCTTAAGTTTATCCAGGCAAGAAGCAATGAGTCAAAACATAGAATTCAAATGCAAATGTGTAGGGTGCTTGTAGGTGACCTTTTATTTCCAGATGCCCTCAAATTCTCCAGCATTCTACACCGATTAGGGCATAGTTGCACGTTTTAATGGGTAGATAATAAGATGAGCAATGAACTTTGTTGAAAGCTTTTGTGCAAACTAGTTAATATAAACCGATCTGTTTTGATTAAAAAATGAGATTGTTCTTTTGACAGTTCACTCTTTTCCTCCAGTCCACCCCAATCAGAATTCCCTGGAAAAGGTGTGTCAAGGATTATGCTCTATTAAGTGATAGTCCACCATCTGGAAATGCTGCTTAGCCTTGACATCTGTTTAATGGTCACTGATTATCACTTGCAGTTGGACGTGATGATCTTGGAGGTCTTTTCCAACCTTGATGATTCTGTGGTGATTCTAAGAAAATGAGGTCGATGCAAGTTATTTGCAAGGCTACATTTGAACTTCAGTTTGCCTGAGAACTAGCTTCATACCTTCTGTGATTACTCCTTGCTTACAAAAAAAATCTTATAATAGGAAATATGGGCAATGCAGGGACATGCACATGTTGTACTATGTCAGATGGAGGACTTAAACTGCTCACCCGGAGTTTCTAAACCCCTGCAGTTACCAAGCAGCTCTTCGGCTGGCAGATAAATGCTGCAGTGACTGTGTGTAGTCTTGTTGCCTCAGCTACACACTGTCAACAAGAAGGAGGTGGGGAAGGACTTAACACAAGGAAAGTCTGAGCTTTCCTTGCTAAGCTTATGTCCTGGAACAATTGCTGGAAAGCAGCACATGGGATGCAGTTACATGCTGTGTAGCATTGTGAGCATGAGTATCCAGATTCAGTCCTGCTTATTTCCACTTTAGATACTTGCAGTGTTTGTATGGAGCTTGGAAGAGGTGCAGCTCTGCCCCTTTGTTTGCCTTTCTCATTTCATGTTGCTTGAACGTGTCGTGTCTTTAGCGGTGGTAATGGTGCAGACTGATAGGGGAACAGAGAATGTCATTAAGGTGGACATCTTAGGCATGTGTTGCCTTTGTTGGAGGGTTGGTGAAACAGCAAAGGATGCTTCCTACTACTGCTTCTTGGCTTAATGTTTTGTCTCCAGGTGAGGTCAAAGACCAACATGTAGACAAACTTCAGCGTCTTTTGCTTATCTGATACATAGCCAGCTTTTTACCCGTCCTGTGATAACCTTTGACATTTAATTGTACCAGTTGGTTGCATGAAGCCTTTATATTCCCTTTGGAAAACATTTCCCACTGCTTACAATTTTATCAGAGTAACATGAGGACGTATGCTACGTCAGTCTATATCCGTATTCTGTACACCTGTTTACAGATAATACATCCGTGTGTCTCTGGTGCAGTATATTTGTAGCAGACCTAAGCTTTTCTTTGGTAAAACCAATTGCATCACACTTGAAGAAATTGCTAAGGGTGTGAGTTTATTGTAGAAAATAAATTGTTTTTTAACAGATCTGTAATCATCATTCTGATTGGTTCTGTGATGTTTTTGATCTCTTTTCAGCTGTAAGTTACTGAGTGATAGATAGGATGAGGCAGATGTTCGGACGCTTGATTGGCAGCACTGCTTGTGGGTCTGTGAATCCTCACCGCTGGTAGTTGTGTGTTAGTGGAGAGTGTCCCACTGAAAGCTTCTCTCTGTTTGCTTGCAGACAGTCAGGCTGATGCGGAGGCGCCTGCTACAGGGGGTGAAGTCTTGGACCTGACATCCTGTGAGAAGGAGCAGCCAGAGGAAGTCAGCGAGCTACCAGGCAGTGAGTGCAGCCCCAAGGAGGAGCCAAAGGCTGACTCCCCACCAGCAGAAGAGGATGCCGAAGAAAAAGCAGATGAATATGAAGAGGGCCCTGAGGAAGATTCTGTAAGTAACAAAAGTCTTGACCTCAATTTTGCCAGCAAATTAATGGACTTCAAGCTGGCAGAGAATGACCAGAGTGCAGGCAGCAATTCTCAGACTGAAAGGAAACATGCCTGTGACGTTTGTGGCAAAACCTTCAAGTTTGCTGGCACTCTTAGCCGTCACAAAAAGGCCCACATTCGTGAGGACAGAAAAGATGAAAGGAGCAGTGAGGATGAAAGCAAAAGCATCCAGGATGATGCAGGAGCTCCCTCGATGCAGGACTCCAGTCTTGAGCAGGAAGAGTCTCCGATGGACTTGAAGGTAGTGGAGTCTCCTCTGGACTGTGAGGCGACAGGAAAGGAGAATGAAGAGAGCGAAAGCATTTCTGAGGGGGAAGGCACAGAGAGAAAGTCCACTGAGAAGAGCAGTGATGACAAAATACCAAAGACTGATGAGGCTAAGAGTACTGCAAAAGCAGACAAAAGAAAGAAAGTCTGTACTGTGTGCAACAAGCGTTTCTGGTCTCTGCAAGATTTGACACGACATATGCGGTCTCATACAGGTAAGAGGAGAATTCAGGGCAGAGCAGATAATGAGCAGATCTGCCACCACAGTGGCATCTTCTCTGTAGGTGCACAATTACTGCTAGTGCATGAAGTTGGAGACACTGCTTTTAGTCCCAAAGGTAGCTGTGAGATGTCATCTTTTCCCCGATCTGCCATTTAAAGCACCTGTTAAAGGAGCAGGAGTAGTTACACCACCACCTTATCTTCAGCTCCCAAATGGCTTTCCCCCATGTTTGCTTACAGTGTTTGAAGGTTAGGACAAGTATGCAGACCTCCACACGGTCCAGCTTCTCACTCTCTTCCCATCACGTGGTGTGTGGCCATACCTCTTCCCAGTATTTTGATAAGCAGTGGATAAACATGGAAGTATGTAAGGCTTCATTTCTGAGTGAAAGTTTAGAGAGAGTGTGTGGTTTTGTCTGATTATCTGGGCCTGTACTGATTGTGTGCTGGTGATACACGTGACCTTCTGCTTGAGTGAAAGGCACAGCTACAGTCTGCATTCTTCTCTTCCTTTGGCAGAGAATGTGGAGTATAGGTAGTAAAATCTTAGTCTGATTACTCAGTAATTAAAGTACTAGCGATTGCTTTATGCAATAAATTTCAGCAGTGCATTAAGAAGGTGAAGTCATGAGCTAGCTAGCTCAAGAGTGCATTAGTCGTGCATCCTCACTAATGATGTATTTTACCTCTCAGAGTTACTCTCTCAGAGCTCTCAGCGGTTCTGATGCGGGAAAATGGAGCAGTTTGACATTTCATGTATTTTGAAATGCTTTCTGCTGAAGATGATATCTTTGTGATTAACTTGGGTTACAAAAATATTTGTGCTGTAATTGAAGAGGGTGCTTAATAAACTACACTAAAGACTAGTGCCTTAGCAAAACTTTCTACCTTTGGAATTGACTTCTCCAGTGCAAAGATGACCTGTTTTCATCCAGTATTGAGGATTCAAAGCTTGAGTGAAACAAGGGATGGATCCCACTCTTGTGGCTGTTTTCATACTAATTCAGAAGATTCAGGAAGATTACAGTATCTAAAATTAGACCTAAATGATACACTGTTGTGTGCCTGAGATTCCCATCCCATTCCCATTCCCATCCCATGTTGCATGCTGAGATGCACAGACCATATCGATACATCTGATTTTTTTTGCTGTTTGTTTCTCTTTCTTATTTGACTCTGAACGATGTCAGTGTCATAGAGAAACATAGAATAGGTTAGAATAGAATAGAAACCTGGGTCAGTTCTTCAAATATAATGAATTTAAACACCACCACTGTTTATATAATGTGTTTTCAAATGCAGATTTTGCCTCAGAGCTGTGGTTGGCTCAACACTGGTTGACCTTCCTCCTTCCTCTCTCCCTCCCATCCACTCAGATACATGGCAGAGTGCTGTCTTTGTGTAATATTGCCTATACTTTGGTTTTAACCATGCTTGATTCAAGATGAATATAGAAAGTTTTTGGAATACTTTTTAGAATACTTTTTCTCAGAGGAGGAACTTCTGAGGCGCTCTAAAGTGTGTAAGGAACCCCTGGCACACTGTGTGCCTGCTGAATGGCAGTCAGGCTGAAACATTTCCTTCACCCTGGCATGTAGTTCTGGGGGGCTCTGGGGTCCCAGTCACAGGGTGAGCTGCAGAGCTGCCCTGTTTGGGGGTGGGCAAAGGCAGCTGACCAGAAAAGCTCCTGGCTGGAGCTTCAGGAGTGGAGCTCTGTCCTCTGTCAGCAGCAAGGAGAAACTTGGCTCAGAAGTGTCATGCTTCCTACGGACAGCAGGACTGGCTTAACTCCACACTGGTGATGTCCTGATGGAATTGCACCACTGAGAAGTCTTTAGCAATGGCAACCAGAAACACGGGATAAAGCTGTCAGGGTGGGACCTTTGGTTCTTCAGTGCTGGCAGGGCAGTGGTGGCATGTAGCAAGTACCTTGGGGCACTGTACTTGGCCAGGATCTGGGGGCAGTTTTGTCAGCAGAGGCGTTTGTTTTTCAAGGAGATTATGCTAAGGAAACAGTTGAAACATTTCAGATGCAAAAAGTGGTTCTGAGCGCAGATTACAGCATAGGATCTGATCTGCAGCTGCTCTGAGGCCTTGGGATGCAAAGTGAGTGGAAAAATTTTGTCTGGAGAGTAGCGTTTCTTGCACAGGTGTGACAAGGTCTCAAACTGAACCTCCCCTGGTGCAACTTAAGGCCTTTCCTCTGATCCTACCCCTATTTCTGAGAGTTTCACGGGTGTGAAAGGTCTAAAGAGCTTTCAAGTGTTTCAGAAATAGGAATAGAGCTCCAGCAGGCTGAAGAGCATCAACAGATTTTTAACAGCATCCCAAGGCACATGCTCTCTATAACTCCCTTAAAGGAAGCTATAGCGAGGTAGGGGTTGGCCTTTTCTCTCAGATAATAGGGGTAGGATCAGAGGAAAGGCCTTAAGTTGCGCCAGGGAAGGTTCAGTTTGGATATTGAGATAAAGTTATTCTCAGAAAAAGTGGTGAGACAGTGGCACAGGCTGCCCAGGGGGATGGAGGTATTCAGGAAATGTGTGGATGTGGCACTGAGGGACGTGGTTAGTGGGCATTTGCAACCTTTATGATTTTATGATTCTTTGTCTTTCATTTGGTCAGTAAACATTGACCACTGCTGACAGACACCTCGGTTGTCCTGTGAATGCCTAATAAATCTGGCTCCTTTAGTTGCTCTTTACATTTTGAGACAGCAGTGCTGTCCTTCTGCTTCACAAAAAGAGTAGCAGTTGTTTGTTAAGAGCAGTTCATGACAGCTTCTCTTTGATTTAGGTAAATAACTCATCTGCCAGTATCTAGGAGTAGGTGATATTCTCTTATGTGCTATTCAGTTTGGTTCAGTTATTAAGCCCTGCTGACCACAGGTCTGTAGGCAGTGTCCTCCTGTCTCAAATCCACTCTCTCTGCATGTGGCAGGACCTGTAACTCGGAGCCCCCATGGTGGGCTGTGTAGAAGATACAGTAGGTACACCATGTGCTACCCTGTGGTTTTACTGTGTGACTATGGAGATGATTTGAGGAGGTGGGATGGAAAGCCCACTTTGATCCTAGAGGGTTGCTGCCTCCAGCCAGGTGCAGGAAGGGGAAAATCAGATTCACTGAACTGTGTGGGTTCAGTGGCCTGGCACATCAGAACCACAGGACTATAAAGCTCTACTGGACACCAGTGTACAGTGTACTCCAATCTTATCAAGTTACAAAGGGACAGAACCCATCTGTATTTCTGGAGTGACAGGGGCCCCAGGGCCTTTATATCTGCTTGCATATCACGATAATACAGAAGCAAAAAGACCGCATAGAAGGAACACCAAAGTTTGATGAAAGTACTGAGCTTCCAGCATGGGGAATCTTAAGATGCTTGGAACAAGAGGGAGGTGTGTTTGTGACCTTATGGCTGACCTCCCATTTTCATTCTCTTGCAGGCGAGAGACCATACAAATGTCAAACCTGTGAACGGACCTTCACTCTGAAGCACAGCCTGGTTCGTCACCAGCGCATACACCAGAAAGTCAAAAATACTCGAAACCACGGGAAGGAGAGCGACAAGGAGGAGACCCAGTCGAGGTGTGGGGAAGACAGCGAAAATGAGTCCAGCCACAGTGGCACCAACCCCATCTCAGAAAACGAGTGCGACTCCGCGGGGCTTGTTGGCAGCCACCCATCCGGCACCAGAAGCCGAAAGGAGTCCCTGGTCGGCGCAGCCAAGGATGTGCCCTGTGAAGAGGAGAGGCCAAGCGGGCAAGGAGCCGGTGCCGGCCTCGTGGAGCCCGCCAAGAACGCACAGAAGCAGCCCGCAAAAGACCAGGAGCCTCGGGGTAGCTCCGAGCTAGAGAGACCGCCGGGTTTCATCCAAGACTTGCTGGAGATGCACAACAAAAAGTCTCCCATGAATCACATTCTTGCCTCTGCAGACAGCACGCCTCAGCTCTTGGGGGTAGAATGACTTGCGAGGAGGCTGGGCCCATCCCAGCACACAAACTGAAGCCAGCAGAGCAAGGTTTCCAGGGTCTCGTTTCAGAAGAGTGACCTACAGCTGTGGGGAGAGTATGGCAGACTGGATGCAGTGCCATATGCCTTTCAGTATAATAATGCAAGAGACTACAGTATATACTGATTTGAGTGCCTTACTACTTTATTAGATCTTTTGGTATCATAGATTTTTTTTTTTTTTTTTCAAAAATGATTTTTTTTAATATTTTAATGAATTATTTGGAGAGGACCTTTTTCATTTAAGCATTAATGTTACCTTTTGTATTGGTGTGTGTGAGCTTGGTCTTGTATATCTGATAGTCTCTGTGTTTGTTCTCTGAGCTGGAAACGGGGCAGTGGGGTGGGAGGCCCTTGGATACCACAGCCAATAACTGGAAGCAATTTATGTGAATTTCATACGGAACAGTCAGAGGAAACGCAGGCGAGATGTCGGTTGTTGTTTTCTCAGTAGACGTTCTCGCATTTGCCACACGGTGGAGCATTAAGCCTGTTCCAGGCATTAGCAGTGTGGCAGCCGAAGGTGTTCAAAGTGGTTGGAGCCAAAAGCAGGAAGCGCAAAGAATTTCAACCTCATACTTGTTTCCACTTTTCAGCGTTAGAAATGGTGTTCTAGATACTAGGGTTTTTCTTCTGGCCGTCGTGGACTGAGTGCGTATACAGAGAAGAGTTACATAGCAACGTGACCTATGGAAATTATGCACCCGCTGTTATATATGTTTGATTTGCTTCAGTATATTATTATTATTATTTTATAATTATTTTATAAATTCATCAGTTTGCTTGTCTCTGCAGTCAGCAGAAACCAATGGGCAATATTTGCCCACGCAGACATGTAACGCAGCTTGGATCCCCTCTTTACATGTTTTGACTTCAAGCTTTCACCAACTCCTCCTCCTATGTTGCAGCTCTTCTACTGTACTTTAATCGAAACCCTCCCTCTGACCGGAGAGTCAATCAGAGGCCAGCAGGCTGTCATCACAGCCCTGCAGGGGACGCCCCGCTGCTCGTGGTGCACGTGCCCGAGGACGGCCATCTCCGTGCCGTCACCCGGCGGCAGCACGCCTTCCTTCGGAGCCAAGGGACTCAGTCTTCCAGTCGAAAGCGAGCAAGAGAGAAATGCGAGCCTTACCATCATCTTGCTACTTACCGTCATGTTCTGGAGCAAGAAAATACTACTGGTGATAAAACTACAGATATAAGACATGTTAAAAAATAAATTAATTAATTAAATTAAAAAGAAAAAGAAAAAAAAAAAAATAATAATAAATAGAAATTCTTCCTGAGATTTTTGGGGTTGATGCTTGAAGACTTGAGGTGTGCGTCTAAATTTCATATCAGTAATTTAACCCCTTCAATGCTGGGAGCTGGGATTTCTCCGGATGGCTCCTGTTGCCGGCAACAGGTGATGCTCCAGCCGCCAGTGTTGAAGGGGTTAAAGGAAATGTCTCCTACTGTAGCTGCACGCTTCTAGGAGCGGGCGGCGTTTTTGTTGTTGTTGTTCTTGTTGTTGTTGTTTGTTAATTGTCCTTCAGTCATGACCTCTGGGACAGACAGAGCCATAATAGCGATGCCGGAGCCTCACTGTGCTATGCCACCACTCAGCCCCAACCCGCACTGTGATCTCCCCGCCCTGCAGATCCGCTTTTCCTGCTTTCATCAGACATGGAGGACGTGGGCCTCGGACCCATGCTATATTATATAATATATATCTATATATAGCTATATCTATATTAAAAATTCTCCGAAAGTTTCTGGAGACTGAATTGTAACTGTCTGGAATTCAAAGGAAGAGAAACTTTCTTGAGTAATATTCTTGCAGATAGAGTAAGAAAAAAATGGTTGAGGTATATGTGATTTCTATTTTTTGCTTTGTTGTTGTTTGTTAAATAGGGATGTTTGAACCCGTTCAGAAACGAAGCTAACGCCAGAGAGTCAGTCAGAACCAATGATTCACTAAATTCACTACCCAGGTGCATTCTACTTAATGGAAACCAGTTCACGCATCCCTTAAATCCTTATTACTATTATAATTATAATAATAATTATTATTATTATTTGGGGTATTTTTTGGTTCTCGTCGTTTGTTATTTTGGTTTTTTTTTTTGGTTTATTCGTTTTATCTGGGTTGTTTTTGTTTTTGTTTTTGTTTTTAATTTGTTTTTTGTTGTTTTTGTTTTTGCAACTCTCCACACTAAACTGCGCAATACTGTGGGGGAGAAGCCATTACTAAACTATATGCTGCAGAACGATGTAGCACGTAATGAATTCCCAGCAGCCTGCCGGGACATCTGCTAGCAATAATCACTATTGAGTTAAAGCTTTATTTAGCCTTTATCTGTATCCTAGTAGAGTATAAGGTCTTGCCACATCTTATTGACATTTTTATTAGTTGAGTTTGACTGAGAACTGTTGCTGTTGTTGGGTTTTTTGTTCCCCCTCCTCCCCCAATATTAAACTGTGAAATTTATAATGTGTTTAAACTATGGGTGAATCTTAGGCTTTAGTTTGCATGTTCAGCTAATTTGTCTCTATACGATTTTTGTTTGGATCTTTTTTATTTTTTATTTTTTTTTTTCCTCTCTCAGGGCTTTTACATAAAACAAACAGAAAAGGATCTTCTGAAATTCTTTTGCCTGAGTTGCAATGGACTTAACGTGGAGATAATTCAATCACTACATTGAGCACTTGACTGTGAAAGCGCAAAAAGAAATAAAGAAAAAAGAAAAAAAAAAAAAAAGCTATTAAAAAAACACAACAAAACCACCTTGTTTGAGGCAATTCTGAAATAACTTTTCGGGGCTATGTGAGACTGATTCCATTTTCAGAATGATTCGTAATTTTCTCTCTCCTCTGTGTGTCTCCTTTCTCTCTTCTCTCCCCACAAAGGAAGGTTAATCCTAGTGATTTCATCCCATGCAGGAAACAGTAATAAATATGTAGAATTCATATTTTTCTAAAGGGAACTTAAACTGCTGCTACGAATTGTGTACAAGACTGGTTTATGCCACATGAACAGAGAATCACACATTTGTTTTGGTACTTTTATTCCTCTTTTTATTCAGTTGTACAGTACTTCCAAATTCAAAATAAAAGTTGTTCTGTATCAAACCATCTAAGCAATAAAATGTTATATTTAAAAATTAGAGGTTCCAAAATGGACGTGGCTCTTCTTGTGGGTTTGTTGGCGCTTGGTTTTGAGCTGGAGGACAGCGTGTGAAGCAGAGGTGCCCCGCAGAGCAGCATTGCTGTTTCTCTTCCCTCGCTTGGACTAAGCCAGAGGCAGCACTTTGGCAACCACATGCATTTGCTGTTCTACTCTCTGGAAGCCAAAACCCTTTGAAATGGTGCTCTGCTTTGAGGGCATCTTCTTAAAATAGCAATTGGAAACAGAAGAGACCGCGTTGGAGCTGATTATCCCATGCAGGTGCTGGCTCCAGTGGCATGGCCTTCTGTTAGCTGCAGCCACACCTGTGTGTCCCAACAGCATGGCACGGTGATGGAGAGGTGCTGGGATCTTCTCTGTGCAAATGAAGGAGGTTTTTGCCATCCTGGTTTTGGTTTTGCGTAAATGTGTACGGCTGTGAAGTCTTCAGGATGTACAGGGAAGCCACATGCAATTGTCCAAAGAAGATAAATCCTTTGTTGTAGCACGTTGGAGCTGCCTTAGCTACATTTTATATGATTTCGTATAAATAAAGTGCATTTCACAGGACGGTGAGGCAAAGAATCATCCGAGTCGCATATCCAGTTCTGGAGTACAGGGCAGCTGAGAACCTGCGTCTCCTTAACTCCTGGTGGGATGAGTCTTTCTGGTGGAGAAGGGAACCAGAGTCAGACTTACAGACCTAATGGAGGGCGCTGCATGCCCTGCTCCTGCCTTCCTGCCTCCAGCCTCTGGCACCCTCACGGCAGCAGTTATAGTTCCCCATGCACAGCCCTGTGGTGAGGACTCACTACCAAACACGGACAGGTTGTCTTTCTTGTCAGTCGGCACCTGCTGAGGCATAACTCCAAATAACCTCTGGGTGGACCAGAGGGATGGAAACAAGATTCCTGAGGGAAGAAAACTGCAGAAGATCTAGTTGCTGCCACACGTCAGGGGCAGCAGCCCCATGCTCGCTGCAGGGTGCAGAGGTTGGGCAGGCCTGAGCCCTCTGCCACCACTGGACTGCACGCCCCTGGGTGTATTTACTGATAGCGCAGAGCAAACTGGTAAAGAGGAATACAATCGTTTGTTCACCGTTACCCAACTGTTGCCCAGCATAGAACACCTGGCACTCTCTCTGTGCAAAGCAGCCTGACAAGCTCCAAGTTTTATCATCCTCACTTGTTATACAGGAAAAGATGAGGATGGAAAAATGCATTGGGGCTTTTAATGAGGATGCGTCTAAATGCTGGACTGCAAAACAAAAAAACACAAACGTGCTACAGTGCTGTCCTCCAAATCTGGGCTACCTGAGTGGCCTGCAGATGCACCAATTCATGCTTGCAGGTCTAGGCTCTGGCCTTTCTCAACATGGCCGACCTGGCATCTTGCCTCAGCTGAGGGCTATTACTGGGGAGGTGATTTTAGTTGAGTGAAATCTCCTTCCCCAGGCCTGAAGGGACAGTCTGTCCCACACAAGTACCAGGCATTGCTGCTACTTGTCCATCCCATACCAGGCGCTGGTGGCGCATGCCTTTGGTCCCATGAAAAGCTACAGACCTGTCTGTCCTGTGGCATGCACAAGTTTCTTAGGACTTACTGGAGGACTGTGGGGGCACAGCAGGAGAGGTACTTGAGAGCAGAACTATTCAGTGCTTTAAGGATCTCCAATCAATTGCACCAGGTGCAAGGGCTGCAGCAAGATCAGCCGCAGGTGCTGCCAAGGCCATCAGCAGTCCGTATTTATAGGAGCAGGTGGGGTCCTCTTTCTGTAACAGCATGGAGAGAACTGTGCTGTGCTCTTGCTCGTGCTCCCAGTTTACTTTCACAGAGAAATTGTATTGCTTCTGGAAGTTGTGGAGGATGCTGCGAGCCAAGAAAAAGACAGCTCTTCCCTGAACTCGCTCTACTCTAGCTGAGTTCCTATGACTGAGGTGCCTCCTGCAGAATACAGGGCCTTAGGTTCTCCCCGGAGTTCTTCCTGCTGTCTAGCATATGTAATATCAATGCTCAACAGATGCAGTAAGGAATCTAGGCCACAGTTTGTGATACTGGGAGCCATGTGGCTCCTTTGGTAAGGGTTTTTTGGTGTGAGGAGGCTTCCAGTTGCTAGGATCTGCGGCAGTGCTGGGAGACCAGCATGGTGACACCAGGATATTGGTCTGCTCTGGAACAGTCTGCAGGCTGTAAGATGATGGAGGCTGTTGCACAGAATGGGATACCTATCTGCTGTGGAACTTCATCTGCTTTGCTACTGTTGGCTGCCCGTAATCTCAGGTAAGTGATGCTTACATACATATGCACGTTATGGTGTTGATGGGGTGCCTAACGGAGGAGAATGCTGACTTAAATTTTCTGAGGAAGTGAAACACGGCAGAAAGCCTTCTGGCAATCCTCCAAGCAGCAGGAGCTAGAAACAGCTTTCTCCTTTGCTGTGCTTGCTTATTTCTCTTCTGCCATATCTGTGTGTTACTAAAGCTGCCAGTAGGGCACGAGGAAACCCTGTATGATGGTCATTTGCAATGTGCTATTGTGAAATAGTTTGAGCTCCTCCAGGGCCTTTCAGCAAGGAGTTGTGAAGTAGTTTACAAACATCAGTACTCAGTATGTTCTAAGAGAGAAGCTTGCTGGAGAAATGGCTTCTCGTTGTTGAAGGTCCAAACTGTGCTTACAGCGTTGAGGCCAGTGCTTAGTGTGGTTGAGGCAGGCGTCGCTGTAGCCATGCTAGTAGTATGCTATGGGAAGGCTGGGACAAAATGTGCCTTGTCACCGAGTGTTCTGGCTAACAGTTGAAGTGGCAGCAACAAGGGGAACAGCCAAACATGCTCATCTGTAGTGTGCATTCACAAGAACAGCTCTTACTGTGTGTACACAGAACCAGCAGCTCCTTCCCTACATGCAGGAGTTCATCTTCCTTTGGGAAGCTGCTGCAATCATAGCTCTTTTCTGTGGACCAAGTTCAGATGGCAGCTGAATGCCCTCGTGTCCTGCTAGCACCAAGGGTCTGAGAAGAAGAGGTCCAGGGCTTTGGGAGCTTTCAGTGGGCCAATCCTTTAGAACTTAAAATCATAAAATTGATAGGGTTGGAAAAGACCTTGAAGATCATCTAGTCCAACTGCCAGCCTATCCCTGCATGCCCACTAAGCATATCCTTCAGTGCCATTTCTACTTGTTTCCTGAGTACCTCCAGGGATGGTGACACCACCACCTCCCTGGGCAGCCTTTGCCATTGCCTCACTACTATGAGAAGAAATTTTTTCTAACATCCAACCTGAACCTCCCCTGACACAACTTAAAGCCATTAGCTCTCATCCTATTGCTATTACCTGGGAGTAGAAGCCAACCCCTACCTCACAACCAGCCTCCTTTTAGGGAGTTTTAGAGTGTGTGTGCCTTGGGATGCTGATAAAGGCTATTGATGAGTACAGGGGGGACAGTCACCTCCCTGCTCCTGCAGGCTACACCATTTCTGATACAAGCAGAAAAACAAAGGATGCCTTTGGCCTTCTTGGCCACCTGGACACACTGCTGGCCCATGTTCAGCCAGCTGTCAACTAACATCCCCAGATTCTTTTCCTCTGTGCAGCTTTCCAGCTACTCTGCCCAAGCTTGAGTAGCTTTTCCTGCTACTCAAGCCTGTTGTGATGCATGGGGTTGTTGTGAGCAATGTGCAGGACTCAGCACTTGGTCTTGTTAAAGTTCATACAATGGGCATCAGCCTATACAGATCCCTTTGTGAAGCCTTCCTACCCTCAGGCAGATTGACATCTGCTCCCAGCTTGGTGTCATCAGCAAACTTAATGTGGTTCTTGATGGGAAATTCACCTGCAGGTACACCACTGCATGTGGTATGCACGGACTGGAATCAACACTACTTGTAGCAAAATTCTGCTGTGGCATTCGCACCAACTCTGCTGGTCTCAAGATGCTGCAGGAACCCACCAGCTCACAGCTTTGTAAACCCAGTATCTAATAGGGAGAATGTGCCAGCATGGTACGTGCCAACCTTTCCTTCCATCCTGTTATGTGATGGTACAACAAATGGTTAGGAAACTCTTCTTGAAGAGTGGTGAGGCAGTGGCACAGGCTGCGCAGCGAGCTGGTGGAGTCACTGCTCCTGGAGGTGGTCAAGAACTGTAGAGATGTGGCACTGAGGGACACAGTTAGTGGGCACAGTGGGGATGGGTTGGTGGTTGGGCTACGTGATCTCAGTGGTCTTCTCTAAGACGATTCTTAATGATTCTATGATGACAGCTTAAATGGGCACCAAAACCTAAGTGTTGTTTTCTATAAGCAAAATTTGACTTCTAATTTGATTTTTTTTTTTTTTTTTAATAAAATCCACACCCAAATATGTATTATTTATTTTAGGGTGATGACAGCGCTAGTTGTGAGATGTAGGTCTGCTTTAACCAATAAATACTTCTCCTAAGTATTGGCAAGTCAAGGACTGCCATGTGTCACCAGGACCTGGTTTCGTCTGTTGCCTTCATGTTGCTAACAAGCCTAAAGCCTTACATGATTTGAGGTTATGTGTATCAGGTCAGTTACACTTCACAGATAGAGAAAACCAAAGCACAGAGCTGTCTGTGCAGGCACAGCAACCCATCAGAAGCCTGCACTGCAACACAGCTGGTGTAACTTTTGATCTCCTGCCCAGATTGTTATCTGCCAGTATCTCACAGAGCTAAAACCACAGCAGCCTTCTAGCACAGCTACATTAAACCTGGAGATGGTGCTGAGCTGGTCAGAAAAAGATGCCAGGGTTGAGAGATAAAAGGGGAATGGATTTTAGTGTTGATGTGGAGCTGCCCACTGCTTTTAATGCATTTGGTGCTGCTTTGGGTGAATGCACGCCTTTCAAAAATAATCAAGTTTTTTTCTGAACTAAACCACTCTCTTTAGCAGCTGTAAAACACCCAGTTAAGAGTGAAGGCACTTAATTTGAAGTGATAGCAGCACCACCCAGGGCTCCTTGTGGCAAAGTTTTGCAGAGCAGCTGGGGGTGCTTTTGCAGTTTGACACCAGATCTCTGCCCTGAGCGGGCTTATGAAGCAGCCTCACCCAGTGGGAGACAGAATAACTCAACCCAAGTTCACTGTTGTACAGTAATGCAGCTGCTGTGCAATCCTCTGTCCTCACCTTTCAGGTGCACAGGACAGGAGGGTGTTACAGTGTCACAACCCATCATACTGCTGCACAGGAAAGGAGCTGGCGTGGATTGTGAAGTACAGAACAGATCAAACTGGGTTCTAGTGTTCTGAAAGACTGCCTTGCCTGTGGTGTGTGAAGGATCAAGAATGTCCTAAGTCAAACACTGGCTTTAGGAAAAAACAATGCATCATAGTTGGGTTGTTAAGGAATTTATACTAATTATAATCTCTTACTTCAGTGATGATGTTTGCCATACTGTATGCAGTAAGTCAGAGGATGTTACTGGAGCTGTAGCTTTTTCTTTCTGATGGATTCCTGCAGAAAGTGCTTTGGGACTTTCCTCCTTTCTATTTAGACTCCTGCTAAGTGAACCAGCAGAGCAGTTGGCTCTTTCTGTCTCCCTTGAAAACTTGCTGGTGGACTTAGTGGTCAAGGTTGGGACTTGGTATGCTGTCAGGTTCAGCTCCAAGCTTTGTCCATGTATTGTTTGTGGCCATAGCACTGTA